GCCTGCGCGTCCGGAGCCTGTGCTCCGCAAAGGAAGAGGCCACAACAGTGAGAGCAAAAAAAAAAAAAAAAAAAAAAAAAAAAAAAGACCAAGCAGGAAGAGAAAGGGCCTAAAATTCTGGGGACGCACAAGACACACGGACAAATGATGGACAGACAGATGGATGGAGGGATGGAAAAAGGGGTGAGTAGACAGAGGGAGGGGCCTCTGTCAGGAGGGGAGAAAGCGGGAGGTCAGGAAGGGTGGCCCCAAGCCTGGGAGGGACAGTAGGAGCCGGGGGCGCGGCCCCTCCGGTGAGAGCGAGCGCGGGGCCTGCCCAGCTCCCCTTTCCCCGCCTGGCTGCGGTGCCACCAGACCCTCCTCCTAGAGACGCCTTCCTTCCTCACACCCAGTGGCTCCGGGCCTCCCGGCCAACGACCCTCCCTGGCCTGCTCTGGCCGTGACCACTGGTGGTGCCTGCTCCCCGGCGATGCCACCGAGTCCTGGCCTGACACTCGGCCCCCAGGCGGGGGCGAGGTGGGCTCGCAGCCATCCTGCGGCATGTCCCCGGGGGTCCAGGTTCTGTTTCAGCCGTGGCAGCTATCAGAGTCCATGGAGACACAGCAAGCTAAACTGGAGCCCTATCCCCAGGGCAAAGGCCCCCCACCCGAAGCCTGATGTGGCCTTCAGCTGCCTGGAGACCCCAGTTCTGATGTCCCCACCCTGCCAGAGCCCGCGTGCCCTCCCACCCTGGCCCTTGAAGCACCTTCTTTTCATGATATGGACATGCGGGTCGTCCTCCTGCTTCAAGCCCAGCCGCTGCCCACAGGCCGGGCCTCTCCCGTCGCTGGCACCACTGGCTGAGAGGCTGGGGGTCAGCTCCGTCCTCAGGACGTGGGCAGGGGGCAAGGCAACTGCCCTCTTGTCCGCCAGCCGCCCCCGGTTCTGGACGGGGAGTGGGGACAGGAAGGTTAGGGCAAACCAGCCGCCCGTCCTCCTGGGCGCCTGCAGCGGGGGCCCCGCCCCCAGGGCCGCCACAACCGGCCAGAGGCCAAGACAAGAGCTGCGGGGCAAGGCCTCCGCCAGGAAGCCCTGAAGAGACTGCCTTCCACTCCACCCTGGGGGGCCGGGGTGTGGCAGTGCCTTGTCGGGGCTCCACACTCGGCCCAGGCCCCTCCACAGGCACTCGCGTGCTGGAGACCAGCGCGGCTTCCCCAGCTCCAGGGAGCCCCGAGGGGCCGCGAGTACCCGCGGGACGCTGTGGGTCCTGTCACCGTTCAGTGTGCAGTTACCTCTGCCTGCATGTCTGCCTGGCAACCCCCCTCACACTCTGTGTGAACCCCCCACCCATGCCAAGCCCGCTTTCTATGATTAGTGCCAAACGGAGCCCAGCTCAGGGGGAGCTGAAGCTGACCCCTGGCAAATTGCAGGCCTTTGGCTCTTTGTCCCACGGGCCCTGGTGGGGGTCTGCCCCCTGGGTTAGGAGCTAAACGATTCGGAGTTTTTCAACGAGGCACAGCTGTCCTGGCCTTGCGACCGCCAGGTGAGTGGGGAGCAGGGGCACACGCACAGGGCCCCCACAGAGGCGCTCAGAGCCCGCGCACAGCCGGTGGCTCGTGCTCGGGCCGCACAGTATGGCACCTGCCAGTGCCTGCAGGCGCTGCCACCCTAGGGAGGAAAAGTTCCTGTTGTCTGGTGGGCAGGGGGCTCTTTCTTATTTAATAACAGGTGACTGGTTCAGGGAGGTGGCAGGGGCCTGGGGCTTACCTAATTCTCTTTCATCTTTTCAGCGACCGGGGGCCTCCTGGGCCCCCGCCCTCCTGTTGCCAGGATAACGTGTCCCCACCACACGCAGGACACACGCAGGACACACGCAGGACACACGCAGGAGCTCGGGGGAGAAGGTGCCCAGGGGGCCCTCGCCCCGCCCCGCACAGCGTCGCCCTGGACCTGAAGGGCAGCGGTGTGCAGCCGCCACAGTGCTACCCTCCAGAGGAAAGGTTCTCTTCAGACCCAGACCACCCTCACCTCCACACGACCCGCCCCAGCCCCAGATTTGGGCAGTGCCCCTGACAGGGTCTGGGAGCCATAGTCTCTGCCACACCTGCCCTCACACATCCACCCAGGAGGCCCCCGCCATGGTCGGCTCTGCAGCACGCGCTCAGCAAGATGGACTGGGCAGTGCTGGGGACGGGTGGCGTGGCGGGGAAGGAGCCGGGGTAGGCCTGCAAGACGAGGGGGCTCGCCCTGTGCTTGCAAGAGCCTGGCCTTGGCTCGGCGCTACACCAGCAACAGCAGAGCTCGGGCGAAACGGGGTGGGGGGGGAGGGGGGACTGCCCATCTGGGCCCCGAGCCTCTTCAGGCCAGGCTCTGGGGGGAGGGTTCCCAGCAGCCCTGGCCTGTCAAGGAGTGTGCTCAGCTGCAAAGCCCCCTCGGCTCTGCCCTTCTCTAGCCTGCTGTAGCCCAAGCAAATGACCTCCTCTCCTGCCTTTCCGCTTTAATTAAACTGTTCTCTTAAGAAAAAAGTAAATGCATTTCTCTCTGCTTCTCATCTGTGGGACAAGGAAGAGGAGAGGGAAACAGAGCAGTAAGGCTGCCACTTGGGGTGCAGCCAGACCAGCTAGGGTGGCCTGGGATGGTCCCGGGGGGGATCCAGGATGGGCAGCCCTGCTGACCCTGGCCAAGGACAGGGAACACACATGCCTCCCACGCACACCAGAGACCTCAGCTGCTCACCCCTGCTCAGCACACAAATTTAAGAACTGGGTGCTAAGCCCCTGCCCCAGCCAAGCACTGGTTCCTCAGACAGCGAGGGTGGGTGTGTGGAGGCCGGCTGCGTGACCCCTGCACTGTGTGCACACCCATGTTCTGTGACCGTGCAGTGTGCACATACCTGTGGACCTGGCCACGGGGAGTAGGGGAAACGGTCTCTCTGTGGAAAAGGTGGGGCCTGGAAAGACAAGGGGGTCCATGAGACTCCTTCCTTCCTAAGGGAGGGGTGCAGGGATGGGCCTGGGAGGGACCAGACTCAGAAGAGGCAGGTCCAGGTCTGAGCCACCCCTCATGCAGGGCAGCCCCTGACAGGTAGGCAGCCCTGCCAAGCAATGTCCTAGAGGGGACTGGTGCTGTGCTCAGGCCACCTGCCCACCCCCCTCCTATGGGAGACCTTCAAAAGGGGATGATGGGAGAGGCAGGGCTCCTCTCACCCGGGCAGAAAACCCAGACCAGCCTGGAGGGTGTCCTCTTGGGCACCAGCTGCTTGAGAAGGGGAGCGAGAGCTCAGCCTCCTGCCCCAGGCAGGTATGGTGGCAGCGGGCAAAGTTGGGCTGCCTGTTTACACGCTCTGTCTGGGGGGCTCTGTGGGCGGGCACGCCTGTGAGTATGGCGAGCTCATGCCAGACAGTGTGTGGGGTGGGCACGTGGGGAGGTCCAGCTGCGTCCTCTTCCCCTGCCCAACTTGTGTGTCTTTACAGGACTGTGTGTGGCTTCCTAGCTTGCCCACCCCCAGGGCCCACGAGGAATCCAGGACATCCCCTCCCCCACCCTACCGCCAGTCCAAAGTAAACAAGCTGAGGGCGGCCTGCAGGGTCCTCTCAGGCCTTCCTGGCAGCGGGGCTACTCAGTGGTGCCAGGAGCCATGGCCCTAACGGGCTCTCCCCCAGGGGCTCAAACTGTCCCCCTCAAGGAGAAATTTCCTTTTCAGGTTCACGCTCCAACCACTGCTGCCTGGAGGGCACGCGATGGGGAAGGCACAGGCCCCGGCTCTCTTGCTCCCCTAGGCTAATGAGGGGTCAAGAGCCGTCTACACTGGGTTGGAGGCCCCACACCAGCTCCCAGCTGCGGTTCTCTTGACACCCAAGGCCCACACTGCACCTCCTGTGCCTCAAGCCGGGTTGTATCCCCGGACACTCCTGGACATCTAGGACCTTGCCCTGTAGCGCTCCAGCCCTGGGCACCCAGAGATGCACGTCACTCACATCCAAGCCTGTGGCCACCCCAGAATGTACATCCAGGCCAGCCGACACGGTCACACTGTCACATCCCAGAACAAGCATTCCCTTAGGACCGGCCCCTCTCCCAGGCTGGGCCAGCTGACATGGTGACCCCCTCCCGACCTGTGACAAGGCAAAGTCCCCAAGCGCCAGTCAGGTGCCACTGTCCAGGGAGGGATCCTTCGCACCGTGGGCCGCCCCCAGGACCTCAGGAGAAGCAGCCCCCAGACTCCCCAGGAGAGTCTCCGGGACAGGCAGGACCCTGCCCTGCATCACGGGGGCGAGGGCTCTGGTGCCCCGGGGTTCCCACCCAAAGTCATCTCCTCTGTTAGTCTCTGGGGGCTCCCTCCTGCCCACCGGCAGGGTTGAAGTTAGGACTGATCCTAGAAAATACAGGCACAAGCTCCGCAGCGGAGAAACAAGACCCCGAAGCCCCAACTTTTCTCCCGCATCTCACCACCGGGGAGGATATTCGACAGCCTGGACAGTCGCAGATCGGAGGATGCACCTGCAGGATTCCCTTGGACATAAGCGTCTTCAGACTTTTCCCTGCGAGGAGAGCCGAGGCAAGACCAGTGAGGGAGCGGGGCGGGCACAGGTGGGGCCGGGCACGCGGGCACGCTTCCGGGGCGCTGTCAGGGTCAAGGCCAGGTTCCCTCCCACCACGACTATGAACACCCGCCTCCGTCCAACTTCCGAACCCTCCGCCAGGCCTCGCGGCTCACCCTACTCTCGCGGACGCCGCGGGGACCTGCAGAGCTCAGAAACTCAAGATCCGGTGAGCGCCCCCCGCGACGGAGGGCGGCCCTCTCCCCTCCCCCTGCGCCACTCCTCCCGCGCTCCACGCTCTCCAAGCCGGTCCTCCGGAGCCCGGAGCTGGGCGGAGGAGGGTCGGGCCCGGCGCAAGTGAGCGGCGCGGTCGGGACCCGGGACTGCGCTTGACCTCGTGGAGCCGTGAGCCCCAAAGTCGACGAGCGTGACCGGGCCCCTAACTTTCTAACCACCCCCTACCCCCGGCCTGGCGCTCACCCCGCCTCCCCCACCGCATGCCCGCTCTGGCGCCCGCACGTCGCGCCCTCGGAGCCAGACTCCTGCGGGAGCCCAAGCGGCTGCTCCCAGCCCCGCCGCCGCTCGGCTCCGCGCGCGCTCCCGCCCCGACGCGCGCCCCCGCGCCCCCCACCTGCCTGCGCCACCCCTGCACCTTGCCGTTCGCTTTACCAGCGCGCGTCCGCACCCGGCCGCCTCACGTGTGCCCCTCCACTCCCGCCAGAACCGGTGGCTCCTCGACCCCGCAGGGGAGTACCCCGCCCAGTCGGCCTCCCGCCCGCTCTCCCGAGTTCGCGTAAACTTCCCCGTGAGCCTCAGGCCCAGGAATCCCGCAAAGACCTTCCGGGCGGAAGGAGCCGCCGGCTCGTGCGGCCAGCGCTGCGGACACCGCGGAGGCCGAGGGCGCTCTGCCCGGGTCCACCAAGGCGACCGTGCTTTGGGGGAGGGGGCGTCTCTGCGGTGGCCCCGGAGTCGCAGCGCCCTCTCTAGGCAGAGATGGAGTCTCCCAGGTGGCAGGACGAGGGGTGTCCGGACCCACGGGTCCTCGGGGAGCAGAGGGGAGGGACCGGAGAGGCCCGCGCCCCCACGGCGGCCGCACCTTTGTGGCGGATGCTGCGCTTCCAGTCCTTGGCCGTCTCGCGGCCGCTGACGAACTGGAACTCGTTGGGTGTGAGCCACTCGCCGCGGTGGCGGATGGACGGACCCTTGCTGCCCTGGCAGAGTTTGCGCACGTAGAGCAGCGCGCGGTTGGCGCCGCACTCCACCTCGATGCACGGCTCGCCGTTGTCCAGCAGCGGCTGGAAATCCGGTGCCGCGGCCGCAGTGGCCGAGAAGCGCTCGAGGGCCAGAGGGTCTCTGGGCAGGTGGAGGTGCGGGGCGGCCTCGTGCAGGCTCAGGTAGGCGCGCGGGGCGCGGAGAGGCGGGGGCAAGAGCGCCTCGTAGCCCGCGGTCGCGGCTGGTAGCGAGGCAGACGGGGGCAGGGCGGCCGCGGCGGGCAGTGGCGCCAGGTAGCCGGGCAGCGGCGGCAGTGGCAGCGCGGCCAGGGTCGGGTGGAAGGTGGCCAGGGCCAGGGCGAGGTCTTCACGGCCGGGTAGCTCCTTCTTGACAGCCGGCATGGTGGGCGGGTGGTCCTGCAGCCTGGCTCTCCGCAGCCGGCCCAACTAGTTCCGGCCCGGGCTGGAGTTGGGTCTCGAGGGCGGCGGCCTGGGAGGCTCCTGGCCGCGCACCCGTCCTCGCCGCTACTGCGCCGCAGCCGGGCCACCTCGGACCGCTGCCCGGCCGGCTGGCGGGGCCTCTGCTGCCTGAGACATGGTGCTGCCGGAGCTGTATCGATCCCCGATCGACCTGCCCAGCGCCGCAGCTCCAGGACCCTGGGGCTCCACAGGGCGCTGGGCCACCTGCGCCCGCGCCCCCCGGGGCGGCCCCGCGCCCGGTTTGCTGCTGCGCCCGCCGGGCCGAGCCGGGCAGTGAGGAGGTGTGGAGCCTCCGGCCGCGTGCCCCGCCCCGCCGGAGGGTCCCAGGCCCCCGCCCCGCCGTCCCAGCCGCGCACCCGCGTACTCCAGCGCGCGCCCGCCTGGCGGGGACTTGGGAGACTCGCGCCGCCGCCGCCGCCGCCGCCGCCGCCGCCGCCGCCGCCGCCGCCGCCACAACTTGGCCCATTTAAACGGCCCCGGCGCGGCGGGCGGGCGGCACGGGCTCCAGCAGGGGGTGCGTGACGGCCGACTGGGCTCACGCGGGGGACCCGACGGGCCCCGGCTGCACCCTCTGCCTTATTCCCGAGTGGGAGAGAACAGGAGGAAAGGAGACTGGTGTGTGTGTGTGTGTGGGGATGGGGATGGTGCGGGGGACGGATGCCAGCGAGAGGCGGTGCGCATGGACCGCGCCAGGTGCTGAGGGAGTCACTGTTTGGGCGCCCCAGCCGGAGTCCTGGACTCCGGCTCCTTGCGAAGGAAGGAGCGGATCCGGGATCGGAATCGCCGCTTGCCTGGCGGGGGTGTGTGTGAGCCGGCAGCTCTGGGTAGGTGGTGGGCATCAGTGGGGAGGGCATGGGTGGTCTCCTCTGCTCTACAGGGTGTGCGCTGTGTGGCTTCGGCAAAGGTGTTGGGGAGGGTTCGTGGTGTGTGAATAACAACGGTAACAGTTCCATCAACCATTGCCCCCTCACCATACACTTCACACACCTTAGTTCACCTGATGATCCCAACACGAGTTTTCCTTTATTATCCCCATTTTACAGATGAGGAAGATGAGATACAAAGAGGCCAAGTAACTGTACTGACGTTTCAAATCCAGGCTGTCTGCCTCCACGGCAAACAGTATCTGAGCCATAGGGTGGGGCAAGAAAGTGGGCTAGATCCAATCTGGGTGAGGGGGTGGGGGACGCGGGGAGGGGGAGGGGCAGCTGAATGGCGGGGGGCTGTGCACTGGAGCACATTGCCGCTCCTTGCCATGTGCAAGTCTGGGGATGAGGGACCTACGCATCCACGTCCACCTCCGTGCCTTCGGGGGAGAGGTCAGCCTTGGTCTAGGCCTGGTATTAGGGCAGCTGTCCCCTGGGATCAACCCACACCTCCCTGCAGGTCAGCATGGTGGCCTCGCAGTGGGATAACTAGGAAGAGAAACTGAGAACCTCGGTGGTTTTGAAAGTAGCTGGCGAGACCTTGTATTTCTCTGGTGTGCCATTTTGGACAAGCTAGAGAGTAGCCTCTGATCCCAACCCAGCTCCCAGACCCCTGCCCGTGTCCCTCTGAGATGCACCTGGTAGGGCACCCATGTGGGCATCTTCCTGACCAGGCTTGGGTGGGGGCGCTGCTGAGCTGGGTCATAGGAGTGCTCCCACCTTCTGCAAGGGAGGGGCTGGGAGTGAGGGAACAATCCCCCTCAGCCCCTCCTACCAGACGCCAGCACCACCTGGGCATGTGGCTGCCTGCTGGGGACCACGCTGCTTTCGTGTGCTAATGCATGCTGCCCACCTCATCCTCAGCTAAGGTACCAGCCAGCCCCAAGACCAACCTGGGGAGTGAGGTCTGGGCTCAGACCAGGCATGTGTCTGGGACCCTCTGCCCCTTTACTCCTTGTATCTCTGTCTGTGGGAGTTTAAGGGGCAGGTGGGAAGATGGGTGTGAATGTGAGTGACCCCTCCTTACTTTACCACCCTTGGCCCCATTGCCCTCTCTGTAACCTGGACACCTGCACATACCTGACCCCAGGAGTGAGAGCTAGGGAGCTCCCCCCACACCCAGCCTCTGTAGCCTGTGTCTTGCTCTCAGGTGCGATGCCTCCATGTCAAATGGATGCAGGAGGCTGTCCTCGCCAGAGAGCCAAGGCCCGTGGAGGAGCCTTCATGTTAATCTGTGGTCATAGCTCAGTGTGGAGAGGCCAATCAGGGCTCAGCTGGAGGCCAAGTGGGCCTGTGTGCCCACTGCTTGGCCACAGCCCTGACCCTGCTGCCAAAAGACAGCCTCCACCCATCTCTTCTAATGTCTGCCTGCACCTGTCTGTTGAGCCTTAGGCCTCCTATCCCCTGAGCTTCGCACTGCGGTTTGGGGAGGGGAGGCTCTAGATATGAGAAGATACCAGGCAGCTGCCAGGCCAGGCCTCTCCTCCGTCCTGAGCCTGAGGAGGGGGCCTCCCGCCCCTTCTGTGGGACCACCCCTCACTCACCCCTGGCCTCTTTCATCACACACTGGCCCACAATGGTCAAGGAGTGCCATGGGGGGCCCCAACTCTGGCTTTCAGGGGAGGGGTCCAGCTGGCAAGGTGTGGTGGCTGACCTAGCTCACCCAGCCTAACCTCCACGCCACCATCTGGCTCCAGCCCTCTTTGGAGGACCAGGGTTCCCTCCTGAAAAGACCGTGACTGGGCCCAAAGCTCTCTGCAGGACGCTCTCTCCTTCTAGGGCCACTCCCTGACTCCAGGGAGACCTCCCTCCAGGGGCTGTCGGGGTCTTGGCTGATCAGGGCAGTTCACCCCCCCCCCCACATGTTTCCCCCTGTTCTTGGGAAATAGAGCCCTCTGCCCACGGGGCTCAGAGCGACATTCCCACGCTGACGGGACCAGGCACCCTCACCCCTGGACATTAGACTCTTCGCAGGAGCATCTGCTCACTTCCTTCCGCCTGTCCAGGTCTGGCAGCTGAGCCCGCACGTTCCTCTGTACTTGGCAGACCGGAACCAGAGGGCAGAGGGACAGAATTTTGGCGCTAGGATCACCGCTGCTTGGCCCTCAGGCCCGGCGGCCCAGCGAACACAGTTCGGGTCGGTGGCTGCAGCCCCTCTTCCGGCCGGCGGAGCTCTGCCCCTGGCCGCCCGCCGGCCTCCGCGGCGCCATCGCTGCTCGCGTTCCCCCCCGCGCGGGGCCCTCCGCCGCCCGGGCCGCCGCCGCCGCCGCCGCCAGGGAGGGAGAGGGGGTCATAAATAACCCGCGGGGCGGCGCGGCCGGCGGTGCAGACGGTGACCCGAGACGTCCCCGGGGAGCACGGGG